AAGGTCCCCCTGCTCAAGCCAGCGCATGTCCAGGCCCGTCTGAAGTTTGCCAATGACCATCTGGATGAACCAGAGGAGGAATGGGAGAAGGTCATGTGGTCTGATGAGACAAAAATAGAGCTTTTTGGTCTAAACTCCACTCGCCTTGTTTGGAGGAAGAAGAAGGATGAGTACAACCCCAAGAACACCATCCCAACCGTGAAGCATGGATGTGGAAACATCATTCTTTGGGGATGCTTTTCTGCAAAGGGGACAGGACGACTGCACCGTATTGGGGGGAGGATGGATGGGGCCATGTATCGCGAGATCTTGGCCAACAACCTCCTTCCTTCAGTAAGAGCATTGAAGATGGGTAGTGGCTGGGTCTTCCAGCATGACAACGACCCAAAACACACAGCCAGGGCAACTAAGGAGTGGCTCCGTAAGAGGCATCTCAAGGTCCTGGAGTGGCCTAGCCAGTCTCCAGACCTGAACCCAATAGAAAATCTTTGGAGGGAGCTGAAAGTCCGTATTGCCCAGCGACAGCCCCGAAACCTGAAGGATCTGGAGAAGGTTTGTATGGAGGAGTGGGCCAAAATCCCTGCTGCAGTGTGTGCAACCCTGGTCAAGACCTACAGGAAACGTATGATCTCTGTAATTGCAAATTAGATATTCTGTACCAAATATTGAGTTCTGCTTTTCTGATGTATCAAATACTTATGTCATGCAATAAAATGCAAATTAATTACTTAAAAATCATACAATGTGATTTTCTGGATTTTTGTTTTAGATTCCGTCTCTCACAGTTGAAGTGTACCTATGATAGAAATTACAGACCTCTACATGCTTTGTAAGTAGGAAAACCTGCAAAATCGGCAGTGTATCAAATACTTGTTCTCCCCACTGTATATTCTTTACATCAACAACATAGGAATCACTACAAAACTTATTGTATGGCGTCTTATACACAATATTAGGTCCAGCCTTTTGAACTTTGGTTTTCCTAGATATGGCTACTATATTGTGATCACTACATCCAATGGATTTGGATACTGCTTTCAAACAAATCTCTTCAGTATTAGTAAAGATATGATCAATACATGTTGATGATTTCATTCCTGTACTGTTTGTAACTACCCTGGTAGGTTGACTGATAACCTGAACCAGGTTGCAGGCACTGGTTACAGTTTGAAGCTTTCTCTTGAGTGGGCAGCCTGATGAAAGCCAGTCAATATTTAAATCACCCAGAAATTATACATCTCTATTGATATCACATACATTATCTAGCATTTCCCACATGTTATCCAGATACTGACTGTTAGCACTTGGTGGTCTATAGCAGCTTCCCACCAGAATGGGCTTTAGGTGAGGCAGATGAGCCTGTAACCATATTACTTCAACAGCATTTAACATGAGATCCTCTCTAATCTTCACAGGAATGTTGTTCTGAATATAAACAGCAACACCTCCACCTTTGGCATTTCTATATTTTCTGTAAATGTTATAACCTTGTATTGCTACCACTGTATCATCAAAGGTATTATCTAAGTGAGTTTCAGAGATAGTCAGAATATGAATGTCATCTGTTACTAGCAAATTATTGATTTCATGAACCTTGTTTCTTAAGCTACATATGTTAACGTGCACTATTTTGAGCACTTTTCGTCTGGGATGCTTACTTGTTTTTATTGCTTTACTGGGAAGCTTAGCAGCAGTAGATGTGCTCATGCAGTAGATGTGCTCACAGTGTAATAATTGTGTAATACATAAACAGTGTCATAAAGTCATAGCTTTTTCCAGTACAATGGAACAAGTCCATTATAATTAATTCACATCTAATTTGACTCTATAGTCTCAGACTTGAGTGACTGGCATGGGACTTTATGACCAGAGTAAAGTCTATAAAGACTGTTGTTCTACCGTCTGAGCTGCCCAGCCACTTTAATGACAAACACAGAGCAGGTCCCAGGTAAACAGAAATGTCCCACAGGGATCAGATAAGGAGCAGCAGCCAGACAATGTGGGCACCATTCAGTTACCAAGCAGGAGAATAAACTTCAGAGATGAGTGTTTCTGTGGTGTGTTTGCTGTGCCTGCCTTCTTATCTCCCCTGGAGCCATCCCCATTGCCCACTCCTTTTCTCTCCTTCTCTCTGTCTCCCTTCAGCCTTGTGTGTGAGTGTTTTACATTCATTTTGTCTTTGTTCCACTGAGTCTAGGTGGAAACGATAAAGCACAGCTACAAACAGAGTGTTGATGGAGGCAATGGTACCTCCAGAGTATAACTAACAGAGGTATCCCTTATGGAAAAAGTGTTCCAAAAACACATGTTTTCATGTGATCACGTGATCTTCTGTGAAGTTAATGTGATAACATGTGACAACATGTAAAGCAACATGTAATAACATGAAACTACACATCTGAAAACGTGATCACATGTGAAGTGTTCCAAAAACACATGTTTTCATGTGATCACGTGATCTTCTGTGAAGTTAATGTGATAACATGTGACAACATGTAAAGCAACATGTAATAACATGAAACTACACATCTGAAAACGTGATCACATGTGAAGTGTTCCAAAAACACATGTTTTCATGTGATCACGTGATCTTCTGTGAAGTTAATGTGATAACATGTGACAACATGTAAAGCAACATGTAATAACATGAAACTACACATCTGAAAACGTGATCACATGTGAAGTGTTCCAAAAACATGTTTTCACATGATGATTCATGTGATTTTCCATATGTGAAATCATGTGGTTTTTCTGTAAGGGATATATGTATGTGTGTGTGTCGTATTCTCTGAACACAGTTGTGTTCAGACAGGTTCAAATTCAGTCTAGGGTCCTCACGCATCCTCTGTCTGCCCAGGGACTGACAGGGATCAGCCACTGTGGCGCCACAAGAGGCTGTGAGCCCAGAACAGCTTGTTAAATCCGTACCTGAGTTTCTAACAGGAATGACCTTATCTTTATGCTGTAATACAACATGCGATTTAGTCAACTTATCGTACAAAATATATATTCCCCTCTCTCCAGTCCAACTAATACAAGAGTGTAAGACTATGGTCTCCAAATGCAACAATGTGTGCTGTGTTTATTTGTTATTGATAAGCACTATAAACACGTACTCCCTGCATAATCTGTAACAATTAAAATACTGCAACACCCAATATACAATGTGCAACACGCAAGGGCTGTAGATAGAACTGACTTGTGTTATATCAGATGATAATGTATCATAGCCTACTCTACAATAAAGCAATCACACAATTTCTACCAATGTTTACCAACTGTTTATTACATCTTCATAAAATATCTGTAAATCTATCATTCCTAGTGTAGCCTATAAAACACATATAATCTGCCTATAAATCATTTTAAGTATACATGATTAATGTAACGTGAAACCATAAAATATTCATCAATAAAGTCTACTGTGCAGGTGTTCTGTGTACAAGCCTCTAAATTGAAAGCTATGTCTTTAAGAGTTGAGTGAAAGGCGGAGCCAGAGTGTTCTTGTGTTGTGTGGTGGAGCTTAAAAGAACATCGCTCACAACAATAGTATTGAGAACTCTCTTAGAACAGAGTAGTTATAGTGGCAAATGTGCTGTCCTTTATTTCGGCTCAGTGACATAGAAGACTGAAGCTTCTAGATTGGCCCAACTAATGTCTACAGCAAAACAGGGGAGCTAGAACTGTCGGCAATAGAGGATTCTAAACGCTTGTGGAAGTGACAGCGGATGTGAAAACTGCGAGGTTGTAAGGTGAGCTCTAAAAACAACTTGGTTTGACGTGACATGTAGCTATTATTCTTTTTGGTGTGTTGATGACGACAGCAGTGATTGATTCAATCCCTCTTATATGTCAGCCGATACAATGTGTCATACATTGACATTGTATCCCCCTGTTATAATATCTTTATTATACCGCTATCATTATGCCTCTCATACTAAAGTCAATATGTTAAACAGTAAGCAATTTAAAGTTGGAACAACTTGTTGTCCTTGTATCGTAAACATTACCATTGTAATGTCATAAGAATCAAGATAAGATGGATCCTTATTTCATCACTTACTTGAGATCGGAAACGTATATTATGGAGTGAGTCACCTTCTTGGAAAGCTCTTACAATCGATCCTGTAAAGCAAGGGGGTGTGCGCGCTGTTTCCTTGCAACACAGGTAGAGCAAGTATGGTTGCTCGGAAACCGCTGCAGGGGTGTCATAAGTGGGGTGTGAACTTGTATGTGTTGCTGTGCCCAATGTGTCACGAGCTATAGTGAGGTATGTCCGAAATGACACCCAATTATATAGGGCTTTGGCCAAAAGTAGTACACTGCGTGGATAATGTGATTTCAGACGTGCACAAAAGGGTTAATATTGTTGGTGTGTAGCTACATGGTGTGTAACACCATACCTCTTGGCCTGGAGTGACTGTGCAGAGCTCTAGGTCTGTGTCTTGGTCTTTTGCTAGTAGGCTATGCATGTCAAATAGAGATTGTCATCATCACAAGTGTTTTAACATACCTCTTGTCTTCCCACACTACAAAAGATGATATGTTCTCTGAAATAAATTGCCTGCAACGTTCCCATTCATTATTTTGTCTAACTACACATTTGTTTAATCCTGTTGCCTCTAAATACATTCAATGTAAACTATGGTTGCACCTGTTGCCAGAGGAAGCGCTAGTCCCTAGGGGTTCATTATCGAGGATCAAGTTGCTTCCCATCCCCTCCGAATTGTATCCAGGGCCCTGGGCAAGGGATGGAGAGATGACATGTTGGACAATTTTGCCCGAGCTGACATCCCGGGCATGCTGTTGTTACAGAACTTTGTTTCTGAATGACCAGCTGTCGAGGCAGCACATCAATCTATCCATTCTCTAGACCTGCTGGGGTCTTAAGATACCATGGATGTGTTCTCACTTCCTGATGATTCATGGTTGAAGATAGATCTACAGTATGTTGTTCTGGCCATGCATTTGTTGTTCTTACAATGCAGAAAACACATTGGATGAACTATTCCTCCATAGGAACAGCTCTACATGGCATAGACTTCTGTGAAGTTGTGGTCTCCAGCATTTGGGCAGAGATGACCCCCAGGTCAGGTCTAGCCCACATGTTGCCACTCTACTCAAAGGAAGTCAGGGGCTATGGTGTGATGCACTCATTCCCCTCTTCTACTGGCCACAGGTTCCTAATTAAAATGAAGGTCACCAGAACCTGTTTATGGTCCATACATAAAACATCAGGGTGTCGTGCAGGCATGACAATTACTGGCTATTACTAGTCTGACCTGGGATTAATGTTATCCTGAAGACTGACTACATTGGAACATTACTTAATAATGTGCTGGTGTTCCTAAACGGTGGCATTTAAATTAGCACATTGAGTAAGCAAGAGAAGACTTCTTTGCAGGGTATGTGCAATTAGATATGCTGGAATTTTGTAACATCTGTCAAACAAAGTATCACAATTATTTGTTTACACTATATGTTCCCCAGACGTGACTTGATTTCCTCCTTTTGATCCATGCTTGCATTTAGCTCAGCCCTGACACACATTTGACATGACACAAACATCCAGGTCATCTGACATGGGAAGTGCTTGCAACACCAGGCATATCTCTGGTTACAGGAACAGTCCTGTCTAAAAGAGATCTCCAGCACTGCAGTCAAAGATACCTGCCTACTGGGGTTCAATCAACACTGCTGTTGTATAAAGACACTGTCAGTGTTTTCGGGTTTAGTTTAAAATTCAGTTATTCATTTTTTTCTAACTGACATAAAATCCAGTAGGAAGATGTATGACTAACACTTTACTTAAAGTCAATAGGTATTATGCTTGTAATAATGATATATTATTAAAAGGCTTATCATACCGTATTTCTAAGCTACAGTTTTTTAACCGACTGTAAATGGCTGTTAAAGTTAGACATTATTACATGATACGAATACATTTTATGTGAGTGTACATGCTTCTAAAAGTCTTGCAAGGCATTATAGCCCCATCAAAACACATTATACCTGTTGTATACACGATATTATGTTTAACAAGAACAGTCATGTCACTAGCAGTTTTCCTCTTTTTGTGTTCTGTTTCCTCTCAGTGTAAGAAAATAACAAGTATGGTTTGTGTACTGTGTATAGCATGTACATGTTGTCTGTAGCAACTAAAGAGAGCATTATGTGTGACATATCGCTTTCTGTCCTGAGGGCGTGTAGGGGCACAAGTGTCTTAAAGTCCCATCAAACGGAACATTTGTCATTACACAGCCAGAGGAGCCAAGGATAATGTTTCTCCATGTTCTTTTTGAAAACCACTACCGGAGTGTGAGGCACAAGGCCATGGCTCTTTAATTAGTGGCAGGGCAGGCTAGCAGCCCTGGAAAAAAGAAAGGAGGAGGGGCAGCTTTTTGGCCTCCCATCAGGATTTTTTTCCCTACTACATGGAGAAAGCTTTTAGGTTCTGATATTAAATGCAAAATACAGCACCAGAGGCTACTCGTCATCAGAGGATTGTGTCTCATGTTGGTGGAAATTTGTCAATTAACAAAATGGAGGATATCTAATCGTGCTTTTATAACTGGCTCCCTGCCTCGGACCCTCTTCACTTTCACTCATGTTCCTGTCTCTTGGCTGTGTTACAGGTCCAGCAGCAGTAGCCAGCCGGGGCTAGCCGAGCATTTCCTGGCTTTGATGCGACCCGATTGTGCCTGGAGCATGTCCACAGCGGGCCTGACTGCCAAGGAGATCTGTTTACCTGCAGACAGCCCCTTCCTGCGGGCCAGTCACTGTCTCAGCATGGCTGGAGCCAAGCCCTCGTGGAGCCACCACCATGAGCTGGACAAGTAAGTCTCCCACGTGCAGGGTTGGAGTAACTGATGACATGTATTCAGTTACATGTAAAAATGGAACTAATTAGTTATGTTACCAGCCAACAATATTGTAATCAGATTACAGATACTTTTGAAAAACTAGATGATTACTTCTTGGCTTACTTTTCAATTCAGAAAGGATGTTTGCAAAAAAAATACATTGACACCTTTCTCAATGACATTCAATTCTGTATTGAAAAAATTTGCAAGTTTAAGTTTGTTAAACCTGAACGAGTCTGACCACAAGTCGGAGACCACTATGATGACACGCCAAATGTGTTTGATGGATCCTTTTTGTCTTCTTCTAATGCCTCTTAAAGGGAAAGTAATCCAAAAGTAACTGAAAGTAATCAGATTATGTTACTGAGTTTGGGTAATCCAAAAGATACATTACTGATTACAATTTTGGACAGGTAACTAGTAAATGTAATGGATTATGTTTAGAAAGTAGCCTACCCAACCCTGCCCACGTGTGTCCCGTTACTAGAATAAGATTTTTATTACAGTTAATATTTTACCAAGGGTATTCCTGCAGGGATGGTTGGAATTATTTTAACTACATGTAGCTGGGACAATTACTCAACAATGTGCGTCATGTCATTTTACAGCTTGTACTTCAGTATGGATGCAGCACCCACGGAATACAACTTTCAATTTCAGCAGCAGGTGCCACCATCGCTCAATTCTGAGAGTAAGTACTGGACCCAGTCACTGTAGATTCTATTACTATTTTACCAACCACCACTTACACCCACAATCCTTCCATTTGCCCTCTGCCTTACAAGGAGGGATTTAATACTATGCCTCTGAGCCAACTGGTCAATGTTTACTGGGAGGTTTTCCTGTTTCTATAAGAATAGAAAGCCAGAATGGCTGCCAAGGGCCTGACCTGCTCTAAATATATCCTGGGGAATGTTTAACAAAACCCTGAGAGGAGAAGTGCTTTCAAGTAATTAAGGTGTGCCTCTCTGTTGACCTCCACTCTTCCAGGAACCTTTTAACCTAGAGACCCTGCTGGGAGCCTGGCAAATGTTAATTAGTGATGTACTATGGTTGTAATTGTTACCAAATGCCAATATTGGTTTTCTAACCACCTTCTCTCCTCTCTCTACCTCTGCAGGACAGAAACATAGCCCTGGTGCACAGCGATTACCCCCAAAGAAGTCCCGTCCAACCAATCTGTCCCTGTCATCCAGCGCTGAGCCCTCCACCCCTAGCCCTGCTGAGGATGACCAGGTGGTCCCGTCCTTCCAGAGGTTGTCTGTGTACGAACGCTGCAGTCCCCCACACACACCTAGCCGGGGGGCCAAGCCCCTGCCCCCTCTCCCTGGGCGGGCAGACCTTTCCCCTGACCAGGCCATGGACAATGAGGTGGAGTTCTTCACCAGTTCAGATGACAGCCGTTGCTTGGTGCCTGAGCAGTGTCTCCCTAAACCCTCTGCCTTCCGCTACGGAGCCCCCAGCCGCAGGAGCTTCAGGCGCTGTGGACAGATTAACTATGCCTACTTTGAGGGCCCAGTGGGGCAGCAGAGACCACAGGAACAGCAGGAGCAGCAGCGGATACAGGAGCAGCAGCGACAACAGCAAGAGCAGGAGCAGCAACAAAGATTGGAGCAGGTAGAGCAACAGCCATCGGAGCATCCAGTGTGTCCCAGACAGCAGGACCGAGCCCAGAGGAAGCTGCGGCGCTCTCATTCCGGCCCTGCTGGCTCCTTCAACAAGCCGACGTCCCTGCGCCTGTCCTGCCACCACCGCTACACTCAGGGCATGGACAAACCAGAAGTACCCCCCCGCGTGCCCATCCCCCCACGTCCCAACAAGACTGCAGACTACCGCCGCTGGTCAGCCGAGGTGTCCTCTGGGGCCTACAGTGATGAGGACAAGCCTCCCAAGGTGCCCCCCAGGGACCCTTTGTTGTCTCAAGGCAGCTCCCGTACCCCCAGCCCCAAGAGCCTCCCCTCGTACCTCAACGGTATTATGCCCCCCTACGCAGAGCTTTGCCCCAGACCCCAATTACGTGAGCCGGGTTTTACAGAGGCAGAACAGCGAGGGGTCTCCCTGCATCCTGCCTGTCATGGAGAACGGCAGGAAGGCCAGCACCACACACTACTTCCTGCTTCCACAGCGGCCTGCCTACCTGGACAAACCTTACTTGGAGAAGTTACTCCGGGATATGGACTGCCCGGCAGGTCGCAGTAGAGGGGCTTCAGACCCAGAGTGGGATTGTCAGACCAGGAGGAACGCACAGGTGGATTTAGTTTGACCTGGAGGAGACGAGTTATGGAAGGACTCCACTGGACACGAGCAAACAACCTCTGGGCACAAAGTGCCTCAGGACACTGAAGCCTTCAAACGCTTACTGCTGCTTTAACACTGACGAGGTTGGTAGTTTTACCTCAGTATTCTAAAAACACAGGGTATTTGACATACCATTTAGTTACTGGGACTTTTGGAATTGCAATCACAACACATGATCTAAATGTTGTCTCTTTAACTATTGAGTGTGTGTGGGTGATATTTAACAATTTAGAGTGATTATTTTTTTATATAATTTCAGTACATTGAGTATATGTAAATGTTTTGCTGATACAGTGGTTCAGTTTGAGGGTATAAGCAGGACTTGTGCCTCATGTTCTCAGTGTTGTGTGTCTCACAGGTAGAGGACATTTTGTGAGGTGTATATTGTGTTTTGATAATTGCTTTTGTGTCTCAGAACTTAGGGACAAAGGGTCAGTAAAGCAATTATTATATTGTGTTGCATCTATGAAGTCTAAAGAAGAGGCCAATGTATTTAAACACGTTAAATGAAGGATTCTCCACCTACATCCCAACCCTAACTCCTATTTTGTATAAGCATGAAAATAGGAATGCACATATCTAGTGTCCTGCCTTGTTGAAATGTCTGTCTTACTTAGGCCACTATGTTTATGGATGGCAGTGTGTTTCTGTGTTCCCTCACTGGACGTTACACTCCATACCAGTAGGGGGAGTGGAATATTGGTATACATGTATCCAGTGGAATGTCTAGTGCAGCTTGTACTTTGTGTTAAGCGTGTGTGTACGTGGTGCACGTGTGTTTGTGTTTTCTCTGCTGATTTTGTGACTTTTCTACCATACTGTAGAAAATTAGATTAACAATATTTGTTACTGTTCTCTGCCTGTTTTCAGCACTGCTTCCAAGTACATGGTTGCAAAGTGTATCCTCCCTAACCCCTATACTACTTTCTTTCAGTCTCAAGATGAAAAAATGTGTTGCACAAAAATGTGCCTGTTGAAAATATGTGAACGTATGCTTTTCTTCACTGAATTGTATCAAAACTGTTTGGGGAGCTCAGTAGTTGGTCAAGCTGTGAGTCATTGTCTAGAACTAACTTGCCTTCAATACTACCTCCCAGGAGAATACAAATCAACATATTACCCAACATTTTGTGGACTGTAATCCTAAAATAATTAGAATTGAAGAATACAATTATAACCAAAACATTGCCAAATATTTCTTAAAGGCCCTCAGTGAAAATATGAAGCGTATGAAAATCCAAACCACTACTTTACTCAGTCAATTTACCATGTTTTAGAATTATAAACACAATCAGACCTTTCATTATATATATGTGTATATATATATATATATATATATATATACACACACACACACACACACAAGTGATTGTGGATCACAGAGATGTTGGGCTCAACTGATAACATAGACTTATATTGTGCAGACTGAGTAGGGCTTACCTACCTGACAGACTTTCCAGTTCTGCTCATGCATTCCTGCCTGACATGATTGCAGTGGGTGTGGTCCAGAGACTTTGGCTGCTGGCGGCCAGGAAACAATATACATTTTATTGTTAAATATTATTCAAGAACCATGATGACATAGTAAATGTAGCAAGTGCGTGGAAGTAATCCTGGATATAAAACATGGTGTTCCAATCCAATATCAGATTAGTGCAAATGGTCACTTCAGTACATTTTCCCTCAAGGGCCTAGCCGAGGCCATATTGTTTTTATATTTAATGTATAAGAAATTGTTTACATAGTACACTGATATGTTATTTAATCTTGTCTTATTGGAAACAATGAAATCAAATGAAGGCTTTAGTTCATCGACAATAATTGACATGATCTGCTGTGGTGAAACAAATGCACAGGGAGTGCTGTGTCACAGTATTTAACATAATTCCATTTGTCATTATGAATAGTTGATCAATGTATCAGTCTTTAAAGGAGAAAATAAAATGACTTATTTATGAATCTGTCTTTGTTCTGTATTCTGTGTTAGTTGCATGTGTTTAATGGTGTGAGATTAACTCTGATTCAGCTGTTTGGCCTGTTTTATCACCCACACCCTCATGCAGCACCTCATTACAGCTGGCTGTAGTCCAAACACACAGCAGAGTGACTTACTTACAGACAGGTATACCTTACCTTCCCCTTCCTAGTTGAAAGTATGACTCTTTCCCCCCTGGCTACCTGTTGAGCAACTTAAAGAGGCTAGGTAACCTGGTGGCTCAGGTCTTCAGTGCTTCATGTTGTCGTGTTTCACTGTGGGAGTCCATAGCTTAAATGATGACTGGGAGAGTTCTCTTCTTACTTGAAAATATTTGTCAGTGCAGTCACTCATTTATAAGACAGCTAAACACACAGAGTAGAAGGACTGAAATTGTTAGTGAGTCCAGACTCGAACCCAAGTTGTCAAGAATCCGCACTAGAGGAACGTTGTTATTGTTTATCGTTCTACAGTACACCTGTCAATCAACTGATCAACGAATCCCACTGCATGCTGTAGGCCTATTAATAAGGTGGTAACACAAGACCATTTAGTGTGTTCATTGTCATAGTGACAACTGCTAATAATACTTAAATGTACACTACCGGTCAAAAGTTTTAGAACACCTACTCATTCAAGGGTTTTTCTTTCTTTTCTACATTGTAGAATAATAGTGAAGACATCAAAACTATGAAATAACAAATGGAATCATGTAGTAACCAAAAAAGTGTTAAACAAATCAAAATATATTTTATATTTGAGATTCTTCAAATAGCCACCATTTGCCTTGATGACAGCTTTGCACACTCTTGGCATTCTCTCAACCAGCTTCATGAGGTAGTCACCTGGAATGCATTTCAATTAACAGGTGTCCCTTCTTAAAAGCTAATTTGTAGAATTTCTATCCTTCTTAATGAGTTTCAGCCAATCAGTTGTGTTGTGACAAGGTGGGGGGGGGGGGGGGGGGGGGGGGGGGGGTAGCACTATTTGGTAAAAAACCAAGTCCATATTATGGCAAGAACAGCTCAAATAAGCAAAGAGAAACAACAGTCCATCATTACTTTAATGCATGAAGGTCAGTCAATACAGAAAATGTCAAGAACTTCTAAAGATTCTTCAAGTGCAGTCGCAAAAACGATCAAGCGCTATGATGAAACTGGCTCTCATGAGGACCGCCACAGGAATGGAAGACCCAGAGTTACCTCTGCTGCAGAGGATAAGTTCATTAGAGTTACCAGCGTCAGAAATTGCAGCCCAAATAAATGCTTTACAGAGTTCAAGTAAGACACATCTCAACATCAACTGTGTGAATCAGGCCTTCGTGGTCGAATTGCTGCAAAGAAACCACTACTAAAGGACACTAATAATAAGAAGAGACTTGCTTGGGCCAAGAAACACGAGCAATGGACATTAGACCGGTGGAAATGTGTTCTTTGATCTGGAGTCCAAAGTGGAGATTTTTGGTTCCAACCGCCGTGGCTTTGTGAGACGCGATGTGGGTGAACGGATGACCTCTGCATGTGTATTTCCCACCGTAACGCATGAAGGAAGAGGTGTTATGGTGTGGGGGTGCTTTGCTGGTGACACTGTCTGTGATTTATTTAGAATTCAAGGCACACTTAACAAGCATGGCTACCACAGCATTCTGCAGCGATACGCCATCCCATCTGGTTTAGGCTTAGTGGGACTATCATTTGTTTTTCAACAGGACAATGACCGAACACACCTCCAGGCTGTGTAAGGGCTATTTTACCAAGAAGGAGAGTGATGGGAGTGCTGCATCAGATGACCTGGCCTCCACAATCCCCTGACCTCAACCAAATTGAGATGGTTTAGGATGAGTCGGACCAAAGAGTGAAGGAAAAGCAGCCAAAAAGTGCTCAGCATATGTGGGAACTCCTTCAAGACTGTTGGAAAAGCATTCCAAGTGAAGCTGGTTGAGAGAATGCCAAGAGTGTGCAAAGCTGTCATCAAGGCAAAGGGTGGCTATTTGAAGAATCTCAAATATAAAATATATTTTGATTTGTTTCACACTTTTTTGGTTACTACATGATTCCATATTTGTTATTTCATAGTTTTTATGTTTTCACTATTATTCTACACTGTAGAAAATAGTAAAAAATAAAGAAAACCCCTTGAATGAGTAGGTGTTGTAAAACTTTTGATCGGTAGCGTACATATAATTAAAAAAAATAGATAAAAACGTGCTTTTATATATAACAATTCAACAGCAAACGCCGTTTAGCCTGCACATCTTTTACAGCATGTCATTGCTTGCCTAGTTGCTCAAGTGGTATGCAAGTTGGTTGTCCATTCCTTTATATCTTATTTTTCACTGTGCTCATCTCTCTGTCTGTCCTGTGCAACAATTTGCAATGCATCAGTGCAACAATGTTATTGTAATATATAGGACACTGAGGCAGGGATGCGGGTAGAAGAACCACGTTTATCTGATGTCGTGGGTCAAATACATATGATCACATGTAGTAATTAGTAACAGCGCCACCCTTATACATGACATCTCCCTTGCTTTAGACTTTTTTTCAAAACAAATGTTGCTTTTTTCTTCACGACATACAAACATCGCAATTGTCATCACATTGTTATTATTGTCTTTTCAATGTCTTCTTTTTTCTTTTCTTGTTTGAATTAAAGAGAAGACGAGGAGGCGGCCAGTACAATGCAATAAACTTTAGTGAACTATTAAACAGATTTTTTTAAATTATAAACACTATGACAGAAAGTTTTTTTTTTTTTCTTTTTTTTGTTCCTTTTTTCAGTATAGTCTTTTGAATACTGGTAGTGTTTTTGCATTCTGGTAGGTCTTCCATAACGAGTTGATTTCACTGGTGTGTCAGTGGTTACTTTGTTGCTTCCCACTGTTTGTGTTGGTGTTCTTGGAGCTGGAGAACACACAGGTGAGTAGTTTTCTTCCAGGATGACACTTGTTTCAGGTTCTCTTTCCACAGGAAAAGGTATGTCTATTATGGTTTCTGAGTGTGTCTCTGGGTGTGTCGTTTCATGTGTTTTTAACAGGTGTCTCCGGTTCCTTCTGTAGATTCTCTTGTTTGGTGTTTGTACTATGTATGATCTTGGCTGGCCATGCTTTCCAAGTACAATTGCTGGTTGCCATTAGTTGTCTTGTCGGATCCTGACTCGTTCTCCTTCCTTCATGACCGTAACCTTACGTGTGCCTTGGTCAAAGTAGTGTTTTTGTCTCTGTTGTCTGCTTGTGAGACGGCTCCTGACATGCTGATAGAGTCCTGTCTCTTTGACGTTGGAATCTTTGTCTTCAGTCTCCTTCCCATTAGTAGTTGTGCAGGTGAGAGACCTACTCCATCCAGGGGTGTGTTTCTGTACTCAAGGAGAACTATGTAAAGATCTCCGTTGCCATCTTGTGC